AAAACTGAATCTGTCCCGCCCCCACGGGATCCAGATCGACATTTGTGCAAACAACTCTTCCACATTTCGAATATTGTCGTTGTAGCATAATATTCCGCATCACACAGAGTCCCCTGAACACGTACGATGATGCATAAATCCACGCTGCGGAGGATTTATGCTGTGAGTTTTATGGATTGCAGGATTGCTTGTTCTCAGACCCATGCCTTTCTCCTCCACCTCCTCTTCTTCAACGTATCGCTCACCCGTAATCACACGCCCCTTGTGGTTTCTCAGAAGAATGCTCACAGTGGGAGTCCCGGTGTAGCTAATAGTGGAGCACGGCAACAACATCGCTCGCGGCAAACATCCTCACCGAGAGCTCACCCGTCAGTGACACCTTGTGGGTCTCAGACATGCCAGTGTGATTTAGGCAACATTACAGATGACTGAGTGGATTCATCATCAGTTGAGTCTGTTATATATTTATTATTCTTCTTTAGTCGCAAACCTGAAGCTCGCATCCTAATAGGAATACTCGCGCTTGTAATCGGTGCCCCCCGAAGAGCATCAAAAGCTGATGAGAGGAAAATTAAACACATCTTAATTAAGACAGACTACATCAGACATTTTAAATATCGGCTCTAACGCGAGATATCAGATATTAATGTGACTTAGCGATGCGCCTTGATCTCTGCCCAGTCTACAAAGAGGAGTGGCCTGTTTCCCACTACTAGATACATCCAGGGATTTCCGTGTTTCATTTTTTTCCCCACCCGCCTCCCTGACAGCTTTAAGTCCTTGTTTAATGTTCAATTTAACAAACTCAACCCAGGACAGATATATCATTTGAGAGGAGGAGTAGGGAGGCAAATTCTGCAGCAGGGGATGGTGAAGACGAGGTGAAGATTTCCTCCTGTCTCCTTTAGGGAGTCTAAAATGGATGCTGCCTCTCCTCCCACACAAGAAAAATGACATTGGAAGGGGAAAGGGAAGGGCGATGGGTGGAAGTGTGGGAAAGGAGGGTAGAAGCCAGCTGATGGACGACAGCACTGTTCCAGTTCTCAGGAGCTGATCCTGGGGAGGGGCGCTTAATGCTTGAATTTATGTGCCTGAATCAGCAGGTACACATATTTTTTTTCCCTGACTGTGCAAATGCTTGTGTCCAGATATCGTGCGTGCGCGTGTGTTAAATGCTCAGTTTCCGTGTAGATAAAACCTTTTCTCCTGTCGCGACGGTGCCCCGAACAAGCCAATGTGCTGTGGAGGACATGTGGTCCGCGCGTAATCCCTGGCTCTATTTTACCAGCAGCTTCACCACTCAAATCCAAGCATAATTTCCAGCATGGGCACTAGACACAAATGCCCCGTGCACTGGCATCAGGCAAGTCCCTGCACCATTTTTTTTCTCGCTGACCTACTTTTTATAGTAAGATTATTGTAACTGTCATTTTTTCCATGTCTGTTTATTAATCCCCAAAGCTAAGCCCGAAGGCACCATTTCAGCACTTACTTAACAGTTTGCTCGCCGTAGCCTTCAATTACTAACCTTCCACCGAGTCCCTGCATGTTTGTTTAAGCAAAAAGGAGGTCCTTAAACTGCTCATTACAAATGCAGGATGTGGAATCCTGAAAGAGGACATGGATGATTATTTTTACATATTCATTAAACAATCCTGTGCAGCTCTTGACCTTCTGCATACCTTTATGTAACCACAAAAAACACAAGGTATCCAAGAGATTTCATAATGTCACCGCTGCTAAGTTAGCTGAAGTGAACGAGATTTCACATCCAGATAATTTCTGTTAAAGACAGTGATATTTGCACGAGGAATAGCAGGAGAATAATAAAGACGGCTGTGCTTAAAGAAGCAGTTTAAGAATGATCAACGACAAGGTCAAGTACTAAAGCTACAGCTACAGATCTGCACACTAAGGTCGACGCATGCAGAGAGCGAGTACTGTCTAATTTCACTCCTCATGACGCAGTTAGCCACACTGATACGTCCTGATCCACACGGGAGGCGAGACTGAGCATGTGTTTTATGGCCAACTGTTTATGGTGCAAAGCATGGAAGGGCTCGCAGGCGTTCAGAGAACGGAACCATTTCATAATTATCACTGCGGTGAAATGATGATGCCTTAGCAGAAGGTTGACCCCCACTAATTCATGACAGATGAGAAAAGAGGG